CCCCTGTCAGACCCCCCCCAGCAAATATATCCTAGAGCCGCCACTGCTAATAGGATAGGTTCCACTGCTGATACGTTCTTGACGAATTAAGCGTGTACTGTACTTCATACGGTAGCTAAAATCAGCGAATTTAAGCTTACGTGTGCCTACCGTAAAGAGAGGCCGTACGTATTATTATTATTATTATTATTATTATTATTATTATTATTATTATTATTATTATTATTATTATTATTATTATTATTATTATTATTATTTAATATTGTTATTTTTATTATTATTATTCTGTTTGAATAATTAGACCGAAAACGTCAAAATATGTAGGCCTCTACCCTACCGTATTCAATATTCTTCGAGGACATAGCTAAATAGACGTCTTACACAATATTCAACTGACATCAAGTGACTTAATAATACGGGATAATCCATGATGATTTAGATGGATAATTGTGGTTCTAACCGTTCATAACTCACTTCCGAAAAATCTAACTTTGGAACATTCCAAGGTCGGCCGGTCGCCAAAATTATTAAAGATCATTCTGAAGATATACCACAGCTTTGAAATATTGAGGAAATACTTTTTTTATATAATGCTAAAATTACTTTAAACATAAGAACAAAATAAAAACAATTCCAGGCTGAGGTAAAGCATCAATGAAATATTCACCACTTATCTTCAGGTATTTAGAATTTGATAGCATGAAAAGTTGCAATGAATATAGGCCTATATTGTGTATAGATAATGTATATATATAATATTTATATATATATATACATATCTATATGTATACGTATGTATATATATGTATATGTATGTATGTATATATATCTGTATATATATGTATGTATATATAATTATGTATATATATATGTATATACTGTATATACATACATGTATATATTTATTTCTTTTATTTATTTTATTTTATTTATTTGTTTTATTTAACAAATAGATGAATTAAATAATAATAATAATAATTGAATAGGAGCAACTGATGTTATAACCATATCAAGCGTAGCTTTTCAACAACAAAATTCCTTTTCAGTTGTATGAAAAGGTGAATCTGGCGAGATTCGAACCTGCAGCTAAATAACAATAAACTTGCATTACTGTTTGTAATTTTATTCTGCCTTTTTAGGGTTAGACCCATTCTGTAGTTTGATTAACTTCACTAATGGGAATCCTGCTTCAATGATTTCGTTATCTTTTTCTTTTGAATGAGACAAATGAAAATATGAAATGAAATGAACGAGCGAATATGATTTTGAGGCCCGGATTTGCATTTTTGGGCCGAGTTGGCATTTGGGGCCGAGTTAACTAGTTAACTTGGGCCGAGTTGACGGGGAAGGGGGAGTTGACTTGGGCCCGATCGATCGACTTAACCTGTGGCCGAGTTAACTTGGGGCAGAATTGACGGGGCCGGGTTGATTTAATTTGGGGCTGAGTTGACTCGCGCGTTCATCTGACACATCCGGTCAACGTAAATGGACTTGCAATGACGTCATCATCAATCAACGACAACAGCGTAATTCAACGACAACATAGCTTGTCAATATGACTGTATAGATGAAGATATGATGAGATAATAAGCATCGCATGTAAATGAACAGTCAGTGGCGTAGCTAGGGGGTGGCAAACGTGCCCCGGGCGCCACGTTGGGGGGGGGGGACGCTGACATGTGAGAATGAGTAAAAAAAATAACCACTTTTTAGAAAAACACGACGAATTGATGTAAATCGTCAGGCATGAATATTTTCTAGTTAATAATAAGAATCTGAATGTAGTTTTTTTTATTTGCAAATTTATAGATTGTGATTTCTTTTCAGTCCATTTCGACCGTCTCTTCTTTTTTATCCTATTCTGTAATGACTACATGACTAAAGCTCATCCTGCCATATTTCAGAGCCACGATGGGAAAAGCGAGATATCTGCTTTGGCTCTACTTAGTATTGAGCGTGATGAAGCAGACAACATTGCTAACTTTGATCATGTTGTTAACTTACGGTATTTGCTGATGCAAAAGCACACAAAATTCAGTTGCGAGTTTGAACAATGTTAAAAATTCAGCAACTTACAAGACTCTACTATAAGATAAATTTAGAGAATAAGAATACTAAACTACGGAAGCTTAAAGTGACCTTCCGCGTTTCCGAGTTTCCAAGATAATTATCATGGAAACATGGAATAAGTATTTATTAGGACGTCTTTCCGAGATAATTTATCTCGGAAAGACGGATTTCCGAGATAATTTATCTTGGAAAGACGGAATTCC